CCGGGGACTGGTTCACTGGAGTCTGTGAGGATGACAGTTCAGTTAGCGTTGGCACTGAGGAGTTAGCGTTTGGAAGTTTCAGAAGATTACCTTGAGGAGTCCGGGTTTCTCTTTGAGGAAGGAACTGTTGGGTCCAGAGACTGATTTGTTCAGCAGAGTTCAATAACCGCTTCAGCGTCTTACTTCTAACTTGAATGCAGACCTTGGGTTTTGGTTTCCAGCTCTTAGCCAAGAGCTGCAGAGGAATCCAGAGGAGAGTCTTCAGGTTTGGCTCTGAGGGCAGGCTCGGCAGTTTAAGCTCATCCAGAGCTTCCAAGGGAACAGGTTTCCTGTGAAGCATAGACAACGAAAGTTAGAAGAGAGACTGATCACTAGGGAGATCACTAGAGATTCTCAGGAGGTTCTAGGCTTAGGTGCAAACCAAACTGGATCAGCACTGCGGCATTGAGGCAAGGTCTGAAGGCCGGTTATATACTGCAGGTCCTCCTGATGACGAGATGCGCCTCAGGTGTGTTGGAGGCTCAGCTTCAGGAGGATCCACGGCGCACTCTGCTGGAGACGGATGGTACCGCTCCAGATCCCAACAAACGATAGTATAGAGATAGTCTATGTAAATTACATCTTACATAGGTTAATGCCTTTTCACTTAGACTTAGGCTCAACTTTATTTAACCCTTGGGATTAGTCCTTCAGGGAAATTCCGGTTCCAGTTGCTTATACAGACTACAAAGGGCAGAGTTAAAGGAAGATGCCATTAAAGATAATATACAACAATTAAAGATAATTAATTAATTAATTAAAGATAAATACAACAGATAATATAAAAAGAGTGAATATAGTACAAAAAAGCATAACAAAGTATCATTATGTACCTATGCCAGCATTTAACAACTGATTTAAAACAATATATGTGACACAGTGGTTAAACCAATATGTTAAAATTTAAGTAGAAAAACAAAAACTTAAAGCTATGAACACATATCACAGTGAAAATATAGAAATGCTTATAGGCCAGAACAGTTCAAATCCGATTTTGTATCTGATCCGACAGAAAATCGTGTCATACAAGGTTTTGGCATTTTGCGCTCATTGATGGTCAATGAGGATGATCATGATTTGATGGGGATGAACATGATTTTCTGCTAAGGGTCTTGCATAGCTCTGACTGAGGTAGACCCCATCTCCGTTTTAGTCGGACTACGCAGCAATCCAGTGGTAAATTCATGAGGCTGACAGGAAGAGAAAGATGGGGTTATAAAGTAAAACATCCGCTTTGGGGGAAAATACAAAATTAAATCTTTTAAGCATACGGGAAAACAGTTTTGGAGTCGCACAGAGCAGACACAGCATGCGGGACAGATTTGTTTAAAAGTAATCAATGAAACATAAAAAAAAATACTTTACCCATGATAGTAATTCAGGAGGACACGAAACAGATAAAAAATTTAATCCTCGGGGTAAAAAAAAAAAAAAACTAAGGGCAGAAAGCGAAGTTTATCACTCTCCTCGAAAAAGAAAAAAGAAATTCAGGAGTATAGAAAATTGATATAGTAAAATAGTGATCCTCTTTGAGCCTCACCAAAAAACAAAATAAAAAGGGGCAGACAGACCAAGTCAGGGAAGCTCATCATTCTCCACTCTCCTAAATGCAGACAAACTTTACAGATCTCTCTATGAGAATCCCTTCACTGACTCAGCAAGCATATATACTGTCCCACAGCCTTTGTTGCTCTGTATTCCTTTTCTTTAAATGTAGTTCCCACTATGTTTCTTAATATAGGCTTCTACAAATTGTCTGTCTGCTCTGGTTTGAGATGCTGCACAGACTCATTAAGTGGAGCTTTGCTTTATAGCTGCGGTGCTTTTTTTTTATTTATTCATTTAGAAAATATTCCAAATCTGTTCAAGGCGAATGTGGAAAATTGTTTTCATTTGTGTGTGGCACAGAGACAGAAGTGAAAAAAAATTCTGCACAGTTCTATCTGTAATGAGGCAGAGACTGGATCCAAATAAACCAAGACAGGTTAGTGATGTTTTGATTGGTTTATTGAAAGGGTTAATCTGATAGCGGGGCTGAATCTGTGTGGGCAAACAGGCTGCAGGTAGACAGGTGGGCAGATTGAGGGAGGTTTACCAGTTAGATCCAGGACGGAGAGGCAGGCAGAGTAGCGGAGCTTTTCTGAGTCAGAGATCCAGAGAGAGGGGAGCAGGCGGGCCGATCAGAACGGCACAGAGATCCGGTGATCCAGAGGCAGAGCAGAGAGGGTAATCAGTCAGGCAGAATCAAACAGGGGTCAGGCAGGCTCTGAGTCAGGAGGCAGATCGGGTCAGAAACAGATAGGTTCTCTTTTAGATGCTGAACTATTCGTAGCGGGTTAGCTCGAGATAATCTGGCACAGAGGACTGATCTGATGGGGTTTTTAAAGTGCTGGAAACAGGTGACTCCGGTCAGAGCTGATTGCAGACAGGTGGAGCAGAGCAGGTGTATGGACTGAGTGATCAGGCCAGAATCAGTGCAGAAACCATAACACTACCCAACCTGGGCAGTCAGAGCCTCTCTATGCCCAGTCAATGAGACATGGTATTAAGAAGTTGTACACAACCGGTGTTCTAGTGAAACTGCAACTTGAATAAATATCACATTAAAAGCAGGCTAGGTGTGAAGAACCTGGCAGCATCATGATATACATCTTTCAAAGTAGAATGAAAATCAACATGATTGTTTTTACATAATGTGTCAGTGACTTCCATTTTAGGTTCTCAATAAACTCTCAGAAAGAAAATGTAAGGTTATATTATACTATTTCTGAATTGAAGGCCTATTTAGTATTCCAGGTGTTTGATTTTGGGGTCCCTTATTTGAGGAATCAAGTAAACATCACAGTCAAGGTGAAAATTGTAGGAAAATATGTTTACTTTGGTATAATGAAGTTAGGTGACCTCTGTGTTTGACAGAAAGCTATAACTTTGGACTTATATGACAGTCATGGATGGCCACTTTACAATGACTCCAAAAAACATACACAGTAAATTTACAACATGGAAATTCACACCTTGACAGCAGGCAGATACGGATTCAGCTATGGGAACAATAAAAAAAAACAAAAAATACTTCAAAATGCCTACAGGTTTTCACAATCCTGAAGTTATAGCCCTGACTATGACACAGTATTGTTGTGCCTTTCAGAGCCGTGGTGTCTCGACTTGACTTATACTAATAACTAGGGGACTTGGGAAAAATCACAACTCATTACACTGTGTGCAGAATTATTAGGCAAATTGTATTTTTGAAGATTATTTTTATTGTTGCTCCACAATTGTGTCCTCAATCAACCCAAAAGACTCCTTATTATCAAAGTTTCATATTTTTGGAAGTTGATGTGTTTTATTTTTTTTATTTTTTAGATTTGGCCATTTTATGAGGATGCCTGTGTGTGCAGGTAAATATTATGGTGCAGAATTATTAGGAAATGTAATAAAAAGCAAATATATACCTATCTCACTTGTTTATTTTCACCAGTAAACCAATATAACAAATCAAAATTCACAAATAAACATTTGCAACATTAACAAACAAACAAAAAAAGAGATCAGTGACCAATATAGCCACCTTTCTTTACCATGATGCCCAAAACCCTCCCATCCATAGATTCTGTCATTGTCTATTTGTGTTCCACATTGCATGCAGCAGCTACCACAGCCTCCCAGAAAACTGTTGAAAGAGGTGTACTGTTTTCTCTCCCTGTAGATCTCACATTTCATGAAGGACCACAGGTTCTCGATGGGGTTCAGATCAAGTGAACAAGGGGGCTATGTCATTATTTTTTCTTCTTTTAGACCTTTTCTGGCCAGCCACGCTGTGGTGTATTTTGATGTGTGGAATGGAGCATTGTCCTGCATGATTTTCAAGTTTTTCTTGAATGATGACGACTTCTTCTTGTACCACTGCACCAGCTCATCTTTGATGATACCAGCCCATACCAATACCCCACCTCCACCTTGCTGGCGTCTGAGTCAGTAAGGAACTTGCTGCCCTCTACTGATCCAGCCTCGCGCCCATCCATCTGGTCCATCAAGACTCCTTCTTATTTCATCAGACCAAAATACCTTTGAGAAATCACTCTTCAGATATATTTTGGCCCAATCTTGATGTTTTGTCATGTGTTTCTTGTTCAAAGGTGGCTTTTTTTGGCTTTCCTTACCTTGGGCAGGTCCCTGAGTATTGAGCACCTTGTGCTTATCCACACCCTAGACATGTTGCAGCTCTGAAATATGACACAACTGATGGCTAATGGCTTCCTGGCAGCTTCAGCTTCATTTGATCCTTCTCAATTCATGGGAGTTATTTTGCATCTTCTTTTTTTCAACACACTACTTGCACCCCTGTTGGCTATTTGCCATGAACTACTTCATTGTGTGATGATCCTGCTTCAAAAGCGTGGCAATTTCCAAACTGCTGCCCCCCCTCTGAAAGACATCTGACAATTTTTGACTTTTCAAAGTCTGTCAAATCTCTTTTCTGACCCATTTTGCCAAAGGGAAGTAAGTTGCCTAATAATTAATCACACCTTATATAGGGTGTTGATGTCATTAATCATTAATAACTGGTAGTTGGCTTTCAAGCCTATACAGCTTGGATAAGGACAATATGTATGAAAAGGATGATGTGGTCGAAGTACTCAAATTTACAAATCTTTCCAGTTTCGTTGCCCTAACACTATTAATCTGAATGTGTTGAAGTGTCGAGTTTCTAAGTTACAGCTACTGCAATGAAGTATTAGTTAATTAATTCAACTTTATTAATCTCACATTAAAGAAATGTAGCTCTGCTTTTAACCCCTCCCTTTGAGGAGCAGTGGGCTGCCATTGTGTGGAGCAATCAGGGGTTAAGGGTCTTGTCTAGGAACAGAGTGTAGGCTGTGGGGATTGCACCAACTACTTGCAACCTTGTTAGAGCACAAGCACACTGCTCTAACCCTCTAAGCAAACATTCCCCTAACCAGGGGAGAGTGTGTACCCAGTCCCCCACTACCACAAATTATGCAGTTGAGATTCCCACATTTGGGGAATTTGCAAAGGTCAGCAGAGCCAGGGTGCAATGGCCAAGCCTCACTCTGGGTAAACCTCCTTTATGATCAAGGTATCGCCCCTGCCAGGTAAGTATTATTGGGAATTCAACTAAATGTGTGTATAATAAGCCTTTGAATTTATTCTTTTAACTAATTTTGTTATAATACTAATCATTAATGCGAGTTCTAGTGCTGCATGGATTTACTGAACTGAACTGTGACAAATGAGTTATGTCTGTTGACTAATCCAGTGCCAGGGAAAAGAACTGTGCTGCATGTCCTTCACTTGCATTTTCTCTACTTGCTTTGCCATAATTATGGGACGATCATGAACAGTTCTTGCCGACAGAGGCAAGTCTTGTATTCATTTGACTATTTTATCTATGTTCGGAAGGTCATCAAAAAGTTCATTGGCTACATCCAGCATGAAAATTTTAGAATATTCGCCCTCTGTGAAAGGTTTTCACTTCCTCACTAATGCTAAAGATCCAGCAAAACTAGTGGAATTATAGTCTCCTTGCCGGCTCGACACGTGGAGTTGCTGCTGGCTCGCTTGGACCCTGCTCAGTAGCTCTTTGCATAATTTCTTCCTGCTGTCTTCCTCAGGGTATTTTGATGCAAAGCTGTCATGGGGTGTGTCAAAGTGCCTCTTTACATTCAACTGTTTTATCAATGCAATTTTGTCACTGCAAATTAGGCACGCTGCAGAATTTGCTCTCTCCACAAAGGCACATTCTTATGTCCATTCTTCCTGAAATGTAGGATACATGCCTTCTTTTTTTATTTTCACCATCTTCTTCATTGAAGGGTTAGCAGTGAGCTAATGACTGAGCAGACTGATTTACCTGTTTACCCATTAACAGACAACATAGGCTATTATCATCAAATTAAAATAATGGACAATTGCCCCAGCAGCCAACCGTAGCCCTATACAGGGAATGATTTTGCAAGCCAGACGCAATCATCAAAAGAGCCATAACTGGCTCGGGAGCGATAGGTTTCTGACCCCTTCTCTACTCTGTGGATATAGCTTTTTCACTTCATGTTATACAGTCTTTTTTATCTCCGTACATAGGAATGTAAACAATGAATAAACAATGGCTGACCTTCAGGCAGCAAGGGAATGGAACTAGCTATGAAAAAGAAAGGTAAAGAGGAATAACACTTTTTCACAAAAGCAGAACTCAGTACTCTGTGTCCATGCACTTGTGTCCTACAAATGGATAATTGTTTAGTCTAATAATATCTGATTGTATCACAAGGTAAATAATGGTGTCTGATCAGTAAGATAACTACATTAGAAATCAAGCTAATGTTAGCATTTTCTTTGGGACCATTTAGCATTTTGATAATAACTTTCCACTCTTGGAGGCCATTAGAGCTTTGTTGCTCTCTAAATGACTGCACTGGAATTGGAGCATCTGCATTAAATATCTCATTTGAGAGAAATTAAATAATGAACATGTACATATAAATCTTACAGAGAAGGCAAACAGTAACATTGAGTTTATTTCCTCCAGGGGACATGAATGAATGGCAGTCGAGATCCATTACTGGTAAACATGTAAAATCTGTCTGCAGAGCAGAAGGCAGCTCAGCAGGGAGCCAGTCAGCAATGTGGAGGTGAAATAGTTTGATGAGGAAAATGTGTGTAAAAGTGTGTATGAGGTACATGTGCGAGTGTGTCTCCACATCATGCCTTCAGTCAGTTCAACACTATTGCAATGCTTGTTACGACTTCCAGAAGCAGAGATGCCATTGTCAGAGAAAATACAGGGTCCATTATAGGTGTTGAACATTGTACTGAGCACCCAACCATGCAGAGAAAACTTTGGATGAACATTTAATAAAAAGATTTTAATCCTTTTTCTTTTTTTTTTTATTTGCTAAACAACTACAATGTATAAACCATCCCTCCTTACAGATTGTTTTTATGGGGCTGAGCCTGAGGAAACATTTAATTTTCAGATATCTGCTAAACATTGCCTGCAGATGTTCACCTAACATAGATATGAAACAAGATATCTCTGTTTGCAAAATCTTGTATGCCATTGTTCCTTGAATGTTGCCATCACATTCAATGAGCTTACCGACATTTCAAGAAGGTAATTTTGCCCTTTCTTTCAAGTGTGTTGGAGCAGGGATGCATGTAAAACCTGCAGAGCAGTGGGATTCGAGGTCGGGCGTTGCCTACCCCTGTACTAGAGGGTGTCCCTTAATGAGCTCATATTGAAACAGAGAGAGAGGACACCAGAGGCCTGTGCCATGAAGCAGGATTACCAGCTTAGAGAGAACTTCAGGTTCAACCCTGGCTTGCTGGTACCATGAAACTGGATTAATTCTTAACGAGACAAGTTACCATGGTAACTTATTCTGAAAGGTAAACCTACTCTGTCTGGGTCAGGATTAATCTAAATTCTAGAAAACACCCCAACCATAAGCCAATAAGCTGCTTGGAAAAAATGATGTGCCTTTTCATAGAAGACTGGATTTAATTCAGAGCGCAAACACAAATGAAACAACACAACTTTATTATAAGAGTACTTGAAAAACAAAAAAGCCGTTAAACCAAAGTATGTTCTTTATAAATTAATTTGTGAACCTATTCGTTATAAACCAATCACATTCACTTGTTTCTTATATAATAACACTCACCTAATTTAAGTAATCCTCGCTTTTTTGTATACTCAAATAGAAAAGCAAATAACTAAGGAACTGTAAGCCTAAATGATGTGGGATAAATAGTTTGCAAGCTAACACCTTCTGGTTTCTGAAAAACGTGACTAAAACACAGCCGAAACTCAGGGGTGGATGTACCATTAGGCAGAACTAGGCAGTTTCCTAGGGCCCCAAGTTTCCAGGGGCCCCCATAAAATTCATGTATACTCATGTATATGAACTTTGCATGTGTGGTTAATAAAGCTTTTACTTATTTGTGCATATTAATTATGTTTTTGATGAAAATCCTTTTGTAAAAAAGCTATCTAAATACTTAATTTAACACTTTTTTGTCTATATTTGGTGACTTTTCAGATCCCTATAGCGCTTTTATTTTTTAAAAAAGTGCCTAGCGCCAAAGCTTTTTTCTGTAACCGGATACTTTGGTGACAACATATAAAACCGTCAAACTCTGCTCTCCAAAGCAAGTATATTCTTAACTCCACCTCTGCTTTCCTCTTTCTAGTCTGATTTGATGACTAATGCAGGGCAGACTGTCTGCAGAGAGAAAGAAAACGTTAAGGAAAAATAACTTTTTGTCAACTAAAAAGCATACAAACATCTTTGATATCAAACTAAAGTGGCTAATAGTTACAAAGAAGCTGAAGAGTCTATCACAGAGTTGGAGAATATTAAAAAAAGGTTTACTACAAAAGATTAAGGATTTTGAACCTCAGACCTCTATAGAGTGTAAAGAACCAGGTATGTCTCCAGTGATTGAGACACGCCAGGAAAGGCTATTAGACACAAAAGATGAGGAGACAGATTTTGATGACATTTCAAGTGGCTGGTCTTCAGATATCCTCCTACAGGCAGTACAAAATAAGGAGAAGGCCTTGGCACAATGTGTTGTCAAACTTGAAGAAGCTTCTCACAGGGAAGGGGAGCTCACTGAACACCTCAGAACCCTAAAAGAGCACGACAAATGTGATATGGAGTGTGCAAATCACCAAAGTGAAGAAATCCTCATGCTGTAGGATGAATTGGCCAAAAAAGGACAAGGAAACAGCAAATTTGGTGGAGATACATCAGCAAGAACTGCGAAAGCAGGCCGACAAGCTTACAAGCATGTACAATATTGTAGCTCAGCTTGCTATGTGGCATTTTAAGATTCAAGATTAATAGCATCGTACACTAACTCATGTTCTGAAGTTAAAACCATTAAATTTCTAATTCTATTCAGTCATTAGTGTTCTATAAATATTCATACAGTGTTTAGTTGAATGCATGCCACTTTGTTTCATCGAGCTGTTAGGGCGAATTCACTGAAGCTAAGCTTTTTTTTAAAACTTACTCGAAAAATGTCAGTATTTTTGGAGAGCTGGTTTTTAGATCAAAAATCTGTTACTCACCACCAGTGGTGACAGTGATTATGGAGACATTTGCCCATTTTGTATAGCGGTCTAACTGCGAAGCTAAAGAGAAATCCGCCACAGACCTCTGCTTCCACCAATCCTTCTCTCCAACGTCCGCTCGTTGGATAACAAAATGGATAATCTCTGAATAAAAATCTCTCTTCAAAAAAGGAGATACATAGCCGCTGTACCATCATTCTGACAGAGTCCTGGCTGCAACCAGCAATACCATACAATGCTATTAGCCTGGAGGGATTAAAGTTATACCCAGCGATAGAAACAAAGGGCTCTGCAGTGAGACTCAAGGTGGTGGGCTCTGTGTTTACATCAACAACAGCTGGTGCCAGAACGCTAGATCGGTCTCCAGACATTGCGTTACTGACTGTTAACTGCAGACCATTCCATCTGCCCAGAGAGTTCAGTGTTGTTAGCATTACTGCTGTTTGTGTGCCTCCCAGCGCTAATACTAAAGAGGCCATGAAAACTCTATATCAGACTATATCTCTGAGCTCCAATATGCACAGACAGAGGGTGTTTTTATCATTGCCGGGGATTTTGACCAGGCTAACATAAAGACTGTTCTCCCCCATTTCTACCAACATGTGGACATGTGCAACTCAGGGTGAAAACATTTTAGACCTGGTTTACGCAAACATAAAAAAAGGATTCAGAGCACCCCTCTGCCTCCACCTCGGGTCATCAGATCATCTCTTAGTCATGTTTATCCCTGCATATAAGCCCCAGCTGATTAGGGCTAAACTGACAGTTAAAGAGGTCAGAGTGTGATCTAAGGGTGCCATGGAGAAACTACAAGACTGTTTTGAATGCTCTGACTGGAACATCTTCAAGGCTGCAGGAACATATGACAACTTCTTAAAAATTGATGAGTATGCCATGACTGTGTCAACCTACATTAACAAATGCATTGAGGACATCAGCATCAAACGACCCTGGATGAGTGGAGAGGTTCAGAAATCGCTTAAAGCATGGAACTCAGCTTTCAAGCCTGGTGATAAAGAGAC